GCCGTGCCGGGTAGGCGGCGGGGCGCGCGGCTGCCGAGGTTAAAGGGCCGGTAGCAGATGTTACAGTCCAACTCGCCCCGCTCCGGAAGAGAGGGCACCCTCATCAGGAGCTGCATCGCACCCACGGCGGACTCTCACGACCGCGTCGCACGCGCGGCCGAGGTCGGATCCTGGGGCCGGCGCCGCGGCTCCGCGGGCCTTTTATGAGTGCGGCCGCGCCCTGGGGGCGTCACGCGGCGTCGCATCCGGCCGCTCCCCGCGGCGGCACGTGTGGGGGAGGCGGAGGCGCGAGGCCTGGTATGCCAGCGCGCCTGCGCGGAGGTGCCTAGGCGTAGCCAGGGCTGCCTAGGTCGCGCGGGGGCGGGGGGGGGCCCACACTCCACCCAGTGCCTCCTTCTTGAACTCCCTCCCCGCACAGCGCCGGGGGGCGGGGGGGTCGTTAAATCTACCTCTTGCACATCCCCGGGTCCCTTCTTGCATTCAACCCTCAGATACTGACACAGGTCCGAATCCCTCCTTGACCTATTGACAGATGCTCACACTTGTCACCATCCATCCAGACAAGACTTCCTAAGCCATTTAGACTGTCTGTTCTGCCCAACCTTCAGTCGGCTCCTGCACATTTAAACGGGTCCTGCTCAGTAGTGATTCTACTCTGCCCTCAGTTCTATTGTACATGACCTTCTGTTTACTTGTAAGGCTAGATCCCCAAATCCCATTCTTCCCAAAGTATTCAAGTCTATCAGATGTCTCAGCCTAAGGAGGGACTTAGATTCCAGGCCATGGCCTTAGGAATGCTGACAATCATTTCCTTCCGGAGTATCCAGGCCTAGACACCCACACGATATGATGGTTGCAACAAAGCAGCCCGGCATGACTTTTGACTCAGGGGTCTGAGTTGCCCCACTGGTAAACAAGACGTAGTATTCACCGTCCACATTCTCTCATGGTGTGGCATACACACCCAGTTGTCTCCTCACCCCCCTCTCCTCGACCTGTAGCCCAAGTTTTGTTGTGGAGGTTAATAATAACACAGTTTCGGCTCAGCTGACTTGAATACAAATCCTAACCTTCACCAAGCAATTGTGAAATTACAAGCAAGTTTCTTAATTTCTCTGGGCCTTGATTGCCTCTTCCACACAATGTAGATAATAATAGTAGCGTTTGGTGCCTGGTACACAGTAAACACTAGATAGGTGTTATCTATTTCATCATGCTCTTTGCCAGCCTACATTGTATCTACTTTAACCTCTCAGAATTCAAAATTTCCAACACATATTTTAGATAATACAAGACTATGTTCCTCTATATCCATTGCATTTACTGGCTTATCATAGGTAAGATAGAGATGTTTTGTTTTTCAACTGCATTATTAAAACCTGGGGGATAATCTTGTGTAGAGAGACATACCATTATATTTAAGCAAACATTTCAGAACATTGATATCATATTATCTTTATGGCCACTTGGACGAACCTATTCACTTACTGCAGTGACTCTGTCATAATCCAAAAGTTTTTAGGAACTTCTCTTTAGAAAAGATGTGCCTCACATTTTAAAGTATCTTCGACTAGGGGTAAAGCTTAATCTTTTAAGGTAATTTTATTATATAAATGTCTCCAAGGTGTTTGATAGCTAAGGGTCCCCTATAAGCTCTAGATCTGTGTATTTCCTTTTTTTTTTTTTTTTAAGGTCTGAGACTGGGACTGGAGCTCTGTTTTTCACTTGGCTAGCACTCTACCAACTGACCCAACACCTAGGTCTGTATCTCTCATCACACACTCTACAGTATCTTCAAAAGCCCAAATAGATTCTGTGTCCAAACCAGAATTTTATTCAATGCTTGCTACCCATTCCTTTGTCCAATTCCAGAAACCCTAGATCTTATCCCAGGCACCCCTCTTCTTTCTGTTTCTTTGCTGACCCATCACTAAGTCTGGCTTATTTTATCTCTTTAAACCACCTACTTATCCCCACCTTTTGTCCACAACCTTAGTCCAAGCTCCCAACAAGAGTCTCCTAACCAGTCTATCCAATTGGCACTCTGGCCTTCTTCAGGCCTTTCTCTGTGTTGTTTATAAAGACCTTCCCCAATGCCAACCTAATCATGTCCATCTAAAACCTATGCAATGTAGCTTGATACTTTTCCCATCAAGAATTAGAGTCTTAGCTGGGTGCTGGTGGCTCACGCCTATAATCCTAGCTACTCAGGAGGCTGAGATCTGAGGCTCACGGTTCAAAGCCAGCCCATGCAGGAAAGTCCATGAAACTCTTATCTCCAATAAACCTCCAGAAAACCATAAGTGGCGCTGTAGCTCAAGTGGTAGAGTGCTAGCCTTGAACTGAAGAGCTGAGGGACAGCGCTCAGGCCCAGAGTTCAAGCCCCACAAGCGACAAAAAAAAAAAAAAAAAAAAAGGATTAGAGTCTTAGCTGGACACTAGTGTAACCCTAACTACTTAGGAGGCTGAGATCTGAGGATTGTGGTTTGAAGCCAGCCCAGGCAGGAAAGACCACAAGCCTCTTATCTCTAGAAAAAAAGCCAGAAATGGAGGCATGGTTCAAGTGATAGAGTGCCAGTCTTGAGTTTAAAAGCTCAGGGGACAGTTCCCAGGCCCTAAGTTCAAGCCTCAGGACCAACAACAACAACAATGAAAGAAAGAAAAGGAAGAGAAAAAGGAAGAAAGAAAATAAATGGAATTTTGTTGGTGGGGGAGAGGTGCAAATCTATAATCCTAGCACTCAAGAGGCTAAGACTGGATGATTGTGAGGGCTTGCCTCAAAAGCCAAAACAACAACAACAAAAATCCTGAGCAATTTGGGGAGGGAATCTGAGCTAGCTTTGTGACCAGTAGTATGAAACAGAGGTGATGTGTGAAACCAATCCTTTAGAGACCTTGCAGCATTTGCTTTTATCCCTTGGAAGGCTGGCTTGAGATCACTATGTAAGGAATCAGAGACACCCCAGACAAAGGCCAGTGTGAACTTGCAGAAGCTAACTTGGGTGTTTCTGCATAGCCAACCTGAATGTAGTCAGAGGAATGAGCTCTGGTGAAAACAGCAGAGAGACTCCCAGCCAATTCTCAGAATCATGGAAGAGAAAAAAGCAAAGTCAGGATCATGCCTCTAACCCTAGCACTCAGGAGGCTGAGATCTGAGGATCAAGATTCAAAACCAGCCTGGGCAGGAAAGTCTATGAGACTCTTATTTCCAGTAGCTCAAAATGGTAGAGCATTAGCCTTGAGCACAAAAGCTGAGGGACAGTGCCCAGGCTCTGAGTTAAAGCCTTAGGTATAACACCAAAAAAAGTTAAAAAGTTATTTAAGTCACCACTTTTTTTTTTTTTACCTGTCCTTTGCCTGGAACTCTGGACCTGGGTGCTGTCCCTAAGCTGTTCCTGGGCCTTGAAATCTGGACTTGGGCTCTGTCCCTAAGCTGCTTTTGCTCAAGGTTAACACTCTACCACTTAAGCTACCACACCACATCTGGCTTTTTCTGTGATTAATTGCAGGTAAGAGTCTCACAGACTTTCCCGAGTAGGCTGGCTTCAAACTGAGATCCTCAAATCTTAGCCTCCTAACTAGGATTACAGGCATGAGCCACCAGTGCCTTAAATTACCACATTTTGAAATTATTTCCTGTGTGTTAATACATAACATATATAGCAACTGTCTTTCTGCCTTTGGCACACTGTTATATAGCTCCCTGAAGGATATGTGTTCTGACTTTATCATGCTTTGAATTCTCTTCTTAGACACAGTGGCTTTGAAGACCTTTTGAATCTTAAATTTCCTCCAATGGCCAAGTGTTGAAGGATTGGTCCTCAGATAGTGGAGGTGGGTGCAGGGCAGGGCTCTAGGAAGTGGGGTCTAGTGAGAGGAAGTTATGTCATTGGCACTTGCCCTTGAAGAGAATATTGGGACCCAGCAGTTACTGTGAGGTGATAGGTCTCCTCTGCCACGAGTGTTTACATGTTGCTTGGCCTTTCCACAGGCCCTAAAGCAGTTGAACAACCAGGTACTAAATATCTCTAAAAACCTTGAGCTAGAATTAATCTTTCTTCCTTTTAAGTGGTTAAAGTGTATTTTGTCTCAGCATCAGATAGCTGACTAATACAGATTACATGTTCCCCTCGGCCACAAGGTCTTTGTATAGCTATTCTCCTTACCTGGTGAAAGCAAGAGGATTAACACCTATTCATCCTCCTCCTATTCAGAATGCAGCCTTACTATGCCAAATACCTATTAAAAATGCCCTTAATACCATATGCTTTCCTCCGGGCTTTGGTCAACTGAAGTTTGTATTTGATTGTGATTATCTCCCCCTTCAGTGAACTATATAAAGCTTCTCCTCAGTCTGTCTGGTGTTGTTCGTCATTGTATTTCTGTGCAGTACCATTATAGAATTCAATAAATACTTGTTAAATTCATGAAGGAAGTGAGTGAGAAATGTGGCAAATGTTTATATAAAAAGGAGATCTGCCAATATGTACTGTATTAATTGTACTCTTGGTATGATTAATATACACTGAAATGAAACAAGTAGTCAAATAAATACAGGTAATAAAAAAGGCTCTGCTAGGAAGTGGGTATCAGAGGGAGTAATGGAGAGGGTGAATGAGGAAAAATATGGTTGGGGCAGTTTATTTGCATATATGAAAATAGAACCATGACACTTACTGAAATTGTTTTAAAAAATTGGTGGAGGGAGCTGGGAAGTTGGCTCAGTGGTAGACTGCTTGCCTAGCATGCATGAAGCCCTGGGTTCGACTCCCCAGTACCACATAAACAGAAAAAGCTGGAAGGGCGCTGTGGCTCAAGTGGAAGAGTGCTAGCCTTGGGCAAAATAAACTCAGGGACAGTGCCCAAGCCCTGAGTTCAAGCCCCAGGACTGGCAATTAAAAAAAGGGTGGAGGAGTGATAGAGGAGTGAGTTTGATGGGGGAATACATTGTATACATGTATGGAAACCCTCACAATGAACCCCTATCCTTTATACAAATAATGTAAGTTTAAAAAGCAAACAAAAAAGAAAATGGGACAATAAAAGCTGTTGCCAGGGGCTTCCAAACTGCCTCAGGAAGTAATTCTGAGAAGAGTTTGTTTTTAAATGTCTTGAGTGGTGGGGGAGGCAGCATTGCCAGAAAGTTCATAGCCCTCCAGAAGAACTATTTAAAGAGAATACTATTTTGAATTGATAAATTCTTCTTGTATGTTTGTTACAGCAGAACTAATCATAGCTTAGTCATACATTTTACTTCTTTGTTTCCTCCACAGTCTTCCAAAATGAGTGGGAGATTATAGGGGCAGATGTAAGTATTCATTAGTTGATCCTGTTGGGTTGCTAATCCAGTAAATGGCATGCTGCTTGGGTTTCTCTTTTGGAAATTTGTCTTACTCTGTGCTCCCAGCATCAGGATCAAGGCAGGATGAGGAGGGGTAGAAGGGAGATGGTGAGGTTGTATTTAAGGAAGGCATAGCTTATCCTCCCCTGCTTTGTGATCTTTGAAGGTTATTACTTCACACCCACTTTCTGCCTTCTGGGAATCAGAGTCCTTCAAGGGAAGAATTTAGGGGCTAATATCTGATCTAACTCCATTTGATTCTGTTCAGCTACCTTCACATCTGATCTTTTCTGGTTGTTTTTCTTTTTGTTCTTTTAAAATAATGACCCCTTTTCCTTTTTTCTGTATCCCCTCCACCAGACATGTCTGCACTTCACCTCTCCTTCACCAGATCACCAGTTCACAGTGGCCTATTCTACTCTGCCATGACAAAACTACTCAGTTCCTTGGCACATGTGGAGATCTCTCCCAAGGGACAAAGAAGTATGGCAAATATAACTTCTAAAACATACAAAAAGGGCTGGGAAGTTGACTCAGTGGTAGAATGCTTGCCTCATATGCATGAGGGCCTGGGTTTGATTCCTCAGCATCACATAAGCAGAAAACAACCAGAAGTGGTGGTGTGGCTCAAGTGGTAGGATGCTAGCCTTGAGCTGAAGAGCTAAGGGACAGTGCCCAGGCCTAGAGTTCAGGCCCCACGACTGACAAACAAAAGCAAAACAAAAACAAAAAAGGCAAGAGTGTCAGACAGCTGTGAGTCTTTCATAAAATGACAAGCAACAAAATTAGGAAACCAGATCACTAGTATAAAGGAAGAAAGGGAAAAGACTCATGCTGTGAGTCTAGGTCCTTGATGAGAAATCAGACCAGGAGTCTCATGTCTGTGACCAATAATAGGGAGCCCAGTGCTAGGCCACATAAACATGACTGTAATCTAAACCTCCCAAACTCCTACAATGACAGACACGGTGAGGATCAAGCTGAGATTTTATTTACAGTTCCCTGGGAAATCTTACAGAAGAGGGGCCATCATTATTGCTTTATGGTTATTGCCAGGAGGAAAACTGCACTCTTCCACTGTCAGGTAGGAAGTTCATCTCAAAGCTCAAAATTCTGTCTTCATAGATCTGCCCGTCAGTCCCATGTCTGTGCTGGTAACCTAAAGGTTGACTAATTTGTGCAACTTTTTCCCCCCAAGGGTCATCCTATGACTTTGCCAGACCATTCTATACATCATATTTCTCTCTACCTTTGGTCAGTAGCGGATCTCTGTCCTCCCCAGGCTCACCCCCTCTCTGCAAGCATAAAATATGACACTAGTGCTAGATTTAAGTCTTCCTCCACCTCTTGGCTGGGAGGCAGAGTTTTGGCTTCTTAACATTTCTTGCCAGGACCAGCCTGGCTTCCTTTTGTACCACTAACATAAAGCTCCATTTCCTATGCCCCAGATGACTTCACAACTCGGTAAATTCTTAACCCCTGATGACACTTCAAGGGCCACTTTTGAGGTACTCTGCATATTGCTTGTATCTGCTGGGTGTTTTCCGAGCCTCGGCTCTAAGGAGAAGAAAGGAGCGAGACCAAATGGCAGAGAGGGGACAGCTCCTTAGCTCATGCCCAGGATTAGCAAGAAGGCCTAGAAAGGACGCTGAAGAGGGCGGGAGGACTACTTTCTCTCTCAAGCTCCCACTGTGGAAGGATATGGCTTTATTCATGCGCGTCGCTACTCGAAGCCAGGACTCGTTAGCGGGCGGGGCTCCCCTGCGCGGCCGCTGCGTGGGGGTGGGGGGAAGGATAGGAGCGGAGCGGGCGGGGCGGCTGCGGGGAAGTGGGGGGGGAGCGGGTTTCGGGCTGGAGCAGCGACTCAGGATTGGGCTCCTGCGCCCCCAACGGACTACTTCTTGGAATGCGTTTTGTTGCCCAAGAGTCCGTCAATTTCCATCACTGTTTGTGGTGTCAGCTGGCTCAGCACCTGGAGGAGGATAGGTGGTGAAGGCAGTATGGGTTACTGAGGAAGGGGATGGAAAGGAAAGGGCGAGGACTTGGGGACGCCCCACAATGGGGTCGCCCCACAATGCGGTCTAAAGGCAAGGAAAATCACAGCTGTGCCCTTGGTTGTCGCCACTGGCCTCTTCCCTGCAAAGCCTCACAGGGACATTCTGGTTTAGCATGACCTTGACTTTTGAGGGAAGGACACAGAAAAACGCTCTGCTGGGTACCCAGCTCACCTGTAGGGCGCCCAGGTGTTCCATCAGCTGCTCTGCACTCGACACCCCTAGCAAGACTGAGCTGACCCCCTCATTGCGGAGACACCAGGCTGGAGCCAAAGGAGGGGGAGAGAAGAGAAAGCACTGACCAGGGAATGGTGAGCACACAGATTTCAAAAGTGTCAGAAGAGAGCCCTCCTAGCAATCATCAGCCTTAAGTAAGTTCATACGTTCAGAGCAGTAAACAGGGCCCCTGCAGCATCCAGGATTGGCAGTGTCTCACCTATAGCAAGCTGAGCCACAGTGCAGCCCAGCTGATGAGCAATAGGGAGAAGGTCCATGATTTTGGCTTGTTGCTTCTTGCCATCCTCACTCTGAACTTTGTCCTTGAGCCACTGGTAGCCCTGGAGGCCAAGAAAAATCAATAAAAGAGCTTGCCACTGCCACCATTCAGCTGCCCCTACAGCCAGTTCTACCAATCCTGAGCCCTCAAATCTCACCTTGATGGTGGGCCTGCAGGTATCTGGGACGCGTCCATCATACTTGCTAGTAATGAGTCCACAGGCTAGGGGAGACCAAGTGACTGAGCCAACACCTAAGAGCAAGAGGACTGGGTGTGGGAAAGAGACCTAAGCCATGAGTGAGGCCAAGGGAAAGGTAGGGATGAGAGGTTACACACCAATCTTGTGGTAGAGCTCAGGTATCAGCATCTCTACCTTCTCCCTCTGAAACAGGTGGTGCTCTGCTTGTTCACACACAGGAGGAATCAGATTGAACTGTCTGGCCATGGAATAGGCTTCCTGGGTTGGAACAGGGAGGATACAGCAATTAGAGCCCTCCTTTGCCCCTTTCTTCCAGTGTGATTGGGTTTAGAGGAGCTATGTGAAATAAGGAAGCTAGTTATGGGATGAGGGAAGTGAGGTCACACACTCACCATAATTTCTGCAGCACCCCATCGAGATGTCCCCCAGTATAAGGCCAGGCCCTGGTTGATGACATAGGTCATGGCTCTCACAATCTCTAGGCACACAGGAAAAGGAGAACCACACTGTCAAACCCCATCTACAAGACTGCCTGCCCCACCATGACTGGGTCAGAGCTGGCTTCCTGCTATAAAGGTTTTGAAGAAGTGCCTAGTTTTGCAAGACAATCAGGCTTGGGAGGGCAGCCTTTACCCTCCATGGGACTGTTGGGATCTGAGCGGTTGGCAAAGACGATATCCACATATCCCAGCTGGAGGCGTTCCAGGGATCCTCTTAAGCCTGCAGTTGGGGAGAAGGCAAGAACCTCAGATTTAATCTACTAAGAAATCAGACTTTACCCTTTTGCTATGGCCACTTAAATCCTCCTGTTGAGAGCTTCCGGAATGCTTCCAGCTCCTCTAGCTTCCATGCTCATCCAATTCATTTTCCCATTTGTTACCTTCAATGATGTGTTTGCGGCTTAATCCTCGTTCAGTTTCTGCCCTGTAGAAAAAGGTAAGTCGAAGATGGGGCATGGCAAAGATAGGAGACCAGAGCTAGTCTGGTGCCATGAGGAACTCAGATTATATGGGTCTACTTAGGACATAGACTTCAGATGGTAGGTATGAAACAGTGGTCTCCACCCCCATCCCATACACCATCATAAATTCTAAGTCTTCTCCCCAAACATAGCAGAGCAGCCACTTACTGTCCTCCCCAAAAAATCTTGGTGGTGATGACATAGCTTGATCTCCTGGAAGAGGAGAAATGACAATACCAGCAAGAAAAGAATTTTTGAATGATTATGTCTACAACAACCCTCCCCCCAGTCTCACCTCCAACCTTTGCTCTTGAGGATGTTGCCTAGAGTTCTTTCAGCCCTGGAATAAAAACAAGACAAAAGTAGTGACTCCTCCAAGGTGAATCAATACCTTTTCCTCCTCCCTACCCTTTCCTTTCTTACAAGGTAGAACAAAAGCCAGGAGCCCATTTGGTTTCTCAGCTCCATCCCAAACAAATAGAAGGGTCTTGGATCATATATTTTTCTTTCATTCAGCCAATAACCATTGTGTATCAATTATATACCAAGCCTTAGTGTAGATATTAATGGGATAAAATATGGGTTGTCCTTCCCCTTCTCTGCAAAATCTAACTCATATTTCTAAGCTCATAACATGTTCATTCTCCCCTCCCCCCCCACTCCTTTTGTAACAATACTGTTGCTTGAATTCAGGGCCTGCACACTGCTCTTTTGCCTTTTTATTTAAGGCTTTTACTCTACCATTTGAGCCACACCTCCACTACCAGCTTTTTGCTGGTTAATTGGAGATAAGAATCTCTTTAGTTATGTCTGCCAAAGATGGCTTTAAACCAAAATTGTCAGAATTTAGTAACTAGGATTGCAGGCATGAGGCACCAGCACCTGGCTTTGAAATATTTTTTTGATTGCTAGTTTATGGTCATTCCTTCCTGTCAGGTTCCATAGAATTTATTAAAATTTTTTGTCTGAATGTTTGAGATAAGATTTTACTACATAGCTCAAGCTGGCTTCTAGCAATTATCTTGACTCAGCATCCTGATTGCTGGTGTATACCACCATGCCCAGTTTAACATATAAATTCCTTAGTACAATATTATGAACTAACTTGTGACATTTCAAATTGTTGATGAACTATTTTTGAGACATTTTACTATTGTTTAAATTTTCATATTTCTTGTCATTTGTTGTTGTTTTGCTGGTACTGAGGCTTGAAATAGGGACTCACACTCTTGCTTAGTTTTTTGCTTCAAGGCTGAAACTCCACTTCCAGCTTTATGCTGGTTAATTGGAGATAAGGGTCCCTCAGATTTATCTGCCTGAGCTGGTTCCAAACTGGGTTCCTCAGATCTCAGCCTCCCGAGTAGCTAGGACTACAGACATGAGCCACTAGCACCTGGCTAGACTGTGTGCTTTTAAGGAGCTTGCTGATTTCATCCCAGAAGCAATGTCTGTTCTTAGCTAGGATATAAGAAGACTTTTTGGGAAGAGGAGGACAAACTCCATGGAGAAAGAAGCCTATGGTTTGAGCAGCAAAAACCAGTCATTAACTATGTGTCAGAAGGCAGTAGAAAGTACTTTAGAAGCTCATAAAGGGTTGTGATCAATTTTGGGGAGTTGGGCAAAGGTTTGTTTGGAGGAGCTGATATTTGGGTCAAGACTTGAGCCAAAACTACTTTCTATGCAGCCCATCCTAAGTTTTTGCTACTCCCAGTAGGAAGCCATGTGTATTGTATTTGAAAATCTAGCTTTGATGCCAATGGTCCACATCAGTAATCCCAGTTACTTTGGTGGATTGAGAAGATCGAGACTAGCCTAGGCAACAAGTTACTGAGACCACTTCAAACAAAAAGCTGTTATGTTAGCATGTGCCTGTGATCCCAGCATAGGTAGGAGAATCTGAGGCCAGCCCTGGACAAAAATGTGAGACCTTCCCAGAAAAATAATTTTAAAAAGCAAACAAAGAGATTGGGCTCAAGTGGTAAAGCATTAACTAGTCTAGCCATCATGAGGTACTGAGTACCCTTCCCAAATCTAGCTTTATAATTCTCAGGAAGCACTTATGTCCATGATGTATTTTGGTTTTATTTAATGTGAATGCACAGTAGTATGTTTATTGACCTCTAAGCCAAAGGGATTGATGTTAGAACTACAACTCCCATAATGCTCTGGGGGCCCATGAGCTAACTGGTTGGGCCTTTGTGTTCCCAGAATTCACAGGGTTCTTTAGAGGGAAACAAGAAGTCTGTAAGACTTATAAATGTAATTTAGCCCTTCACCCCAGTCCTTACTTTCCTGCTGCATATACTTCAGCTGTGTCAAACAGGTTTACACCATTCTCATAGGCTACTGTCAGTACATCCTCTGCTGTCTAAAGAAGCAAGAGAAAGAGTTGAAGATCAACCACTGTCCTCAGTTCCCTCTCTCATTGCACTCAAATGCATGACACCTCCGCCCTGGTTTCTGTACTTGTTCCCTTTTTTTCATCTGTCAGACAGTTCCCATGGTTGTCCAAACCCCTATCCAGTCCATTTCCCCCTTTTCTGATTCCCTTACCAAATCTACCCTTACTCTTTCTAGGTCCCATCACTTATACCTCATCTGAGATCTGAGAACCAAATGTGACCCAGGTACCTGCAAAAGAGAAGCCAAACATATCAGAAATGTGGGAGGTAGGCCATTAAGAAATATCCCCATTCACTTAATTCCTATTCTTACTCACCCAAGCCAAGACAGGACACTCGGAGACCCGACTTTCCTAGGTTCCTGTAGGACACAGAAGCAGTAGGAAAGGGTGAAGACTCCATTAAGGATCTAGATTATCGGGGGCTTTTACTTACAGACTAAGAAGCCCTCAGGGTGGCTCAGTACAAAAAAAAAAAAAAACACCTAATGGACCTTTGGGATTTGTATATTCCTATCTCTGTAGCAAAGACCCGAGGAATATTGTTGAAAGAACAAGTGAGCAAACAAGTAACAGTTCCTCCAGAGTTACTGTTCAATGCTTCCACTCCCTCCAATAGCACTGAAGAGGTGTTGTCTTGTTTGCCTTTCATCTGGGTGACATCTTGTCTGTGAATCTTCACTGGTATGAATGGAGTAGTGTGTTCCAGGAATTGTGGCTGGCTACTGTGACCCTTAGTCAGAGAATGCCACACTGAAGAGTGACATCGGGGTAGAAAAGTTGAGTTCAGACACTGAGACAAAGGTCCCTGCCTAGATTGGGTAGATGTGCCTCTAGCAAATAGGCACATAGGTAGTCTGGGGGAAAAGGATGAAAGAGAAGCCTAGTTCTCCCTCTTCTCCTCCATTGGCTTGTGAAGACAGTCTCTGGGGCAGCTTTCCCCCCTCCCATCCCCCCATTCCTCCAATAGCGCCCCAATCAAGTGGTTGGCTCAATTTCCTCATCAGCTCTGCCACATGGTGGGGATCAGATCCATGACCACAACTCATTCCCTTGCAAGAGACTCCGTCTTCCCTCTACTGTTTATTCGGAAAGCCTTCGCCCGCACACTTGGTCAACTTTCTGACCACCTTTTCCTTGTAGCTCCTATCATTCTGCACCAGGGGAGAAAGCATGTGTACTATCCTCCCCACAAGTCCCACGCTCCTAGCTGCCCCTCCCCCACGCCACCCTGAAAGGTCGAAAGAGATCGGCTCTCGGGGGCAGGTGGGGGCATTATTTGGGTCAGACACCGGGGAGCAGGCCAGAGTGAGAAGCATTTTCCTTCCCTCCTCTCCCCAGGACGCCGTCCCAAGGACACTCCGCTGGAGGCAGGTGCAGCCTAGAGATCCCTGGGGAGTGAGGCTCAGGGGACCGAAAGGGACTCTGTCAACCTTGGTTAAACTTGATCCTCTCACAGTCAGGGGTATCAGCGGAGACCAAGCGAGGGGCCAAGTAACGGAGAAATGGTGCCAGAAAGGAAAGGTGGAACTAGCGGGAACCTTGTTGGTGAAGTTTGAAGGGGTCTTGGCTGCCGCCCCAATAAACCTCAGGGGTCCCGAAAGGAGAGCGGACAGGCAAGCTGCCCGGCCACCCCGTACCTGTATTTCATGCCAGTGCTTCGGCCGGTGCTCTCTCGGAGGGCCCCAGCAGGCGCTGGGGGGCGCGGGACCAGTGCCGTTCGGGCCTTGGGGCCCGACCCTCCACCCCCTGGAGGATTCCCGTGCCCCCCTCCGGTTGGCCCGCCATTACCGCCCCCGGGGCCCGGCCGGGGTCCACACAGACGGTCCTCACTGCTCCGACTGCGAAGGTTCTGCTCCGTACACGCGATTGACACTTGCATGCTGGCCGGCCAGGGGGGTGGAGGGGGCTCCGAGGGGGCGGGGGATGGAGCAGGGGAGCCCCGGCGCAGGCACCCGGCGTTGTAGTGGGCTGATCCTCGGGAGAGCGGGAAAGCTGAGGAGGACGCGGTGGGATCCGCCACGCAGGATCGCGGCCGCGGGGGCGGTCTGCTGGAGGTCGCGGGGTTTGCGGCGGGAAGGGAGAAACGCGGGGGGCGCAGCAGTGGAGGAATTCGAACACTGAGGGCGCAAGTGCAGTGTGTAGGAGGGGGAAATGAGTAAGGATGAAGGTCGAGGCGGTCCTCAGAGGATAAAGAGCCAGGGAGGAAGGGTGAAGGGAGACAGATGCCACTTCAGTCCGAACCGCTGCGGGACCCGCGGGGCTCCAGCCGCGTCCGCAGCCTGCCCGGCTCATCAACATGCAGGCCCCGCCCCCTCATCTGCATAGGGCCTCCCGCCACCCACCCAAACTCGCCGCTGTCTGCATTAAGCCCCGCCTGCCAGGATGCTCTCCCGGCTTGAAAATTCTGTATTCTCAGAGATGAGATCAGCTCTTGGGAGCTAGGTTCTCACACCCTCTGGGTACGAGGCATGTCAGCCTTTCCCAGCCCAGTGATTCTCAGTTGGGACAGATTTTTATCCCTCAGTAGACAGGAGACTAGGTTTGGAGGCATTTTGATGGTCATGACTAGTAGTGAGGAGGGAAGTACTAAATCTCCAGAGTGGCAGCAAAGGTTGCTGCTAAAATCCTACAAAACACAACAAATAATTATCCAGGTAAAAATGTTAACAGTGCTGTTTGTTGAGAAACCCAAAGGCAAAAAAATCTCTGCAAGATTCAAGGGGTGTGTGAACTCCCCAGTTACTAGGCCTTGGTGTGGGGCAGGACCAGGAAAGCCCACTGAAATTGAGACACTGGGCTGCTGAAAAGTTTATTGTGTTTTCACAGCATCGAGTAAAGTATAAAACTGGAAAGAGAGGCTGGATTGCAGATATAGACTCCTGTGGTCTTCATTTTTGTGACTGGGGGGAGGGAGGTTAAGACGGAAGCCTGGGGAGGAGGGTAGATTGGTAGGGTTGACGGCGCCCCAAGTTAGAAGGGGCCCCATGCTGTCAAGGATTCTTCTCAGAGATGAAGTTGAGTATTTCACCCAGCTCGGGCGGAGAAGAAGGGCAGAGAGCGGACATAAGAGTCCAGCCGGGAGCGGAAGAGCTCACTTTGCACGGGTTGGCCCAGAGAGCACAGGGGATTCTTCACCACCAATTCCACATACAGCTGTGGAGCAGAAGAATGAAAGAACCAGGCTTTAGACTCTTTCCTTTTCAGCCCCAGACTTACTATAACCTTAAGACTGTATGAATGCACAAAAAACAGGGCTAGGAGGAAGATCTCTCTTAGGAGAAACTGGTAGTGGAGTGCGTAAGGACCTAAGATCCTACAGAAAATTGAGTTCAACAGAGGTGTAACACAATAGGATTAAGGCAAGAAACCTGAAGTACTCTTGGGCTCTGACTGTGGCTGCTAAGGGGATGTGGTGGAAGGATTGTTCCAGCTGACACTGACCGCACTGTAAATATGATGTAGCACATCTCGGATGGGTCCCACACCCAGGTCAGTATTCATGACAACTTTGATTCCAGTGGGCGTCTCGTAGTAATGGAGTTTGTAACGGCTAGTTTGGAAGGCCAGGAAGCCATCCTTCCTGCAGAAACAAGGAAAGTTAAAGATAACAGTGGAATCTCTCCCAAGAAATACTTCTGTCTCCTCAAAGTCTCTCCCAGATCGTCTAAACAGATGGTTGCAGGAGTCTGGTTAAGTAAAAACATCTCCCTCCCCCCTTTTTTTTTCAGTCGTGGGGCTTGAACTCAGGGCGTGAGTGCTGTCCCCGAGCTTTTGTGCTCAAGGCTAGGGATCCACCACTTTGAGTCACAGTTCTACTTCTGGTTTTTAGGTGGTTAACTGGATATACGAATCTCACGGACTTTCCTGCCCGGGCTGGCTTTGAACAGCAATCCTCAGATTTCAGCCTCCTGAGTAGCTATTAATATAGGAGTGAGCCACTAATGCTTTGGCTTCTCCCCTCAATTTTTGTCCCCGCCCTCAACTTCTTTACTTTCAGATCTCCCCTACGGCCACTCCTGCCAGCTTCAGGACTCCTCCTGCAATGGACTCAGCATAAGTCCCCTTATCCCTATCTGGGGACCAAAACCCCTTTTATTCCAGGAAATAACCCCTCTCCCCACAAAATCCTCCCCTTCCCCCAGACTAGCCGTCCTCTCAACATCTCCTCTTGACACGGCGTACATGTCTAGCGGGGACATCTTGCTGACAAAGGAGCGGATGGAGAAGAGCATCCCATACATCAGCTTGTACTCCTGGAGGGAGAGGGGGCAGAATTAGGTCTGGACAGTTGGGAGGCTATCCAGACGGGTTGGGGTGGGAACGAGCCGGGCTTTGGAGGAGGAGGGGCTGGTTTGGGACTGTGTGCGTTTGGAAGTGCGAGGTCACCCGCACTGCACTAGAGCCCTTCGGTCACCTCCTCCTTGGGGATCCCCGCTTGCTTCTTGCGATGCCACTCGCTGTAGTGCAGACACACGCCATTTCGGTCAAATAGGTACAGGTTGTGGACAGTCATCTGCAGAACACAGTGTGTGAACCTCGCTGTAAGCTCGTATTCTCCGATTCCAGATCCCTCCAACTAGACGGGGGACCCCCACGCTGCACTCACCGGAATTCCTCCGAATGCGGGTGAGAAGCTACTTCCGGTGTCTGAGCAAACCCGTCCCTCTGGAGTAGCCGAACTGCTAAGCCGGCGTATTGACCCCGCCCCAATATCACTGTCAAACTCCTTCCTCAACCAATCAGTGATCGCCAGAGCTGCGCACGCGCACCTAGGCTCCTGACGCCTGGGGGTTGCTACGAGCGTTGTCTCGCGGGCGGATGACGTCATCGAGGCGCGAGAGGCGGGGCTGCAGGAGGTGGGCTAGAAGCTGCCAACGGTTTTGAGTGGGGAGGGCTGCGGGCGGGTGGGGTCTTGATCTTTCCAGGCTCAGGGGAGTGGGGGTAGTTTCTCTCCCTTCCCTTGGCAAATTGGAGGCAGCAGACTCAAGGTGCGCCGAGGACGGTGGTGGGAGCGGGGCGGTCTCCTCAGGGTAGACGAGAGAGGGGTGCATTTTAGGGACGTTTGAGGATGTGACCGAGGGTTCTCCAGGGTTCTTTGGGGGAGGGGCGCAGGGAGGGAGATATTCCAGGGATCCCTGCTGTGGCGAGGTGAAGGGGGTCTATAAAAGAGCGGACTCTGGGTGGAACCAGTGGAGTGGGAGGAGGGGCGTGGCGTAAGGTCTGGCCTCTCCCGAGCCTGGGGCGAGCAGCTGAAGGACTGACTAGGCTAGGCCCCGGGTTAAATTGGGGTCCGTTCCCGTGTGCACGTTCTGGATGAGAGGACGAGTAAGACTAGGACGAGTAAGACTAGTTAACCCGAGAGAGCCCGTGCCGAAATTGACTTGCAGCGTCCAGCACTCTAGTTGCGAAGAGGAACTGCAGCCTTGCTGTTGCCTCAACAGGTCTTTTGTCCATATCCCCTCTGCTCCTCGCATCCCGTTTTCCACGGTTCCTAAGAGTTGAGGAAAAGGCATGCCTTTGCCTTCTACATGGCTTCTGGAGTTGGTGGAAACTTTATCCAGAAACTTTTGATATACTTATTCACCAAGGAGTCTTCCTCCCTTCTCTCAAACCTTCCTTCTCTGTGAACTTACTCCCCCCCTGGCCTTTCCCAAACCTGAACCAAAAGTTAGCAGTCTTTCTTCCCTGTACTCATGGCGACCTCCACTGCTAGTCCCAGTTCGCCTCTTCGAGCAGAAGATCTCCTGAGTGATTCATCAGAGCCCCCTGGGCTCAACCAAGTGTCCTCTGAGGTGACTTCCCAGCTCTATGCTTCTTTGCACCTCAGCCGGCAGGCCGAGGCTACTGCTAGAGCTCAGATGTATTTAGCCTCCTCTTCCCCACCTCCTCATGAGGCATTTGATGGCTTGGCTCAAGAGCTGAGTCGCAGCTTGTCAGTTGGATTGGAGAACAACTTGAAGAAAAAGGTGAGGGAGATGTGTCTTTGCGGACTTCTAGGGTACTAGACTCCAGGGTCTTGGGATTGCAAATTAGCTTTTCTGAGATTTAAACTATTGTTGGATGTCAGTTTCCTTTTAAAGCACACAGTTCTGCAGGCTTATTGCTGGGAGCAAATGTTTATGATGGGACAGAATGACCTGAAACAACGTAATTTGGGAAATTTAAACTTCCTGGTGTTTTTGTTTGTTTCATTTTTTGTTGTTATTGTCGTTTCTGCCATTGTCATCTGTACTGTGGGGTAGGTTGGTGTTCTGAGACTTGGGACCTGGGTAAGAGAGTGTGGATAAGGTTACTTGGTCCCAAGAGGGAACTAGGGATTTAAGTACAGCAGCAATATAGGATCTTTTAAGTTCAAAGCTGTTTTGAAAAAACAGCTTGCAAATAAAAAATTGGCTTGCAAATCATTACAACTGTATCATTTATGCAACCCAAGTGGTAGAGTGCCTATCTGAAAGCTCAAGGCCCTGAGCTGAAACCCCAGGATCACAAAAAAATGGTATGCAAATGATTAAAAACAGTATATCCCTGGGTGCTGGTGGCTCATGCCTGTAATCCTAGCTACCCAGGCTGAGATCTGAAGATTGCAGTTCAAATCCAGCCCAGGCAGGAAAGCCCACGAGACTCTTGTTTGTTTTTTTTTTTTGTCGGTTGTGGGGCTTGAATTCTGGGCTTGGGCACTGTCCCTGTGCTCTTCAGCTCAAGGCGAGCGCTCTACCACTTGAGCCACAGCCACTTCTAGTTTACTAGTGGTTTATTGGAGATAAAAATCCCACAGACTAGGCTGGGAAGGTGGCTCAGTGGTAGAGCACTTGCCTTGCATGCCTGAGGCCCTGGGTTCGATTCCTCAGCACCACATAAGCAAAAAGAAAAAAGCCGGAAGTGGCACTGTGGCTCAAGTGGTAGAGTGCTAGCCTTGAGCTGAAGAGCTGAGGGACAGCGCCCAGGCCCAGAGTTCAGGCCCCACGACCGGACCCCCAAAAAAAGAGAAGACTAGAAGAATCCCACGGACTTTCCTGCCCAGGCTGGCTTTGAACCGAATTCCTCAGATCTCAGCCTCCTGTGTAGCTAGGATAACAGGCGTGAGCCACCGGTGCCCAGCTTCCATGGGACTCTTATCTCTAGGTAACCACCATAAAACTGGAAGTGGAGCTGTTTCTCAAAGAGGTAGAGCTCTAGTTTTGAGCAAAAAAGCTCAGAAACAGTGTCCAGGCCTGAAGTTTAAGCCTCACAAATGGTAAAACAAAACAACAAAATGGCCAGTAGTAAAATCAATGGTAGAGAAGCCTGTTATTCATATTGGATAAGAGAAAGATCATCTCTGATCTGGGTGCTGAAGCAGTAGTGTTTGCCTGGTAAGTGTTCAATCCCTAGTTCAATCCCCAGTACTGCCAAAAAAAAGGAAGAATGAAGGATGGAAGGATGTTTAGGGGCTTCTTTAGTTGAATCTCCCTACCATTGCCTTTATGTGCCTACTTGATTCTTTTGCTCTCCATTCTGGCTTCTGTAGGCATTTGAAATTTTGGTTTAAAGTTAAACCATTCCTTATTGGATCCATTTTATTTTTTTTTACTTTCTCAGAGCCAGAATAAATATCCTACCCCTGCAGTAGGCAGAGCAAGGATGGTATAGGTTGCATCTGATTTCCAGGGGACTTTTTTTGTAGGATGGTTCCAAGCATATCTTCGAGATGGAAAGTGTTCGGGGTCAGCTCCAGACCATGCTCCAAACCTCACGTGATATGGCCTACCGTGAGTACGCCCCTTCCTAAGAGCTCTGAAGGAGAGCCTAGATGTAAGAGTGGGAGACAGTGGAGAAGGAAAGCAGGGAGGAAAACCTGGATTTCTGAGAGAAGAGACGTGAGAGGAAGGGAATGGAGGAAGTCCAAAGGAAGGACCTCTTCTCTCTTCTTCAAATGATCCCTGTTCCTGTCCTTACCTGACTCTGGATATGGGATCCCTTGGGCTGTGTGCAGGGGCTCCCCTCACTTCAGGAGCTGGCCCAGAAAGACGAGACGACGACTCCTTTGACAGTGAAAGCACAGCTACCTTGCTCAAGTGAGTTCTCCTTGGATTCTTAATGCATTCTCACTTGCTATCTTAGAAATCCACTTATTCTACTCCTTAGTGCTCTCCTGACTGTTTATTTACCTCTTAGGGAGCTAAGAAGGCTGTTGCTTAGCTTTCAGTTCTCATCTTTTTCTCTTTTGCTCTCTTCTAGAACCTATAGAGTGGCTTTTAAGTAGTACCTAGATTTTCTTACCATCAATCCTTCTTCACCTAGAAGAAGTTAGCTTGCTTCTGCTTAGTCTGTTAGAGCAGCATGGAAGAGGAAGAACATTGTAGAGTGAATCACAGGCCTAGTGTGCTGTTTATGGCTCTGTTACTACTTAACCTTATGATTTTGGGCAAATCTCTTGTCCCTTTGAGGTCCCAGTTTCCTCACTTGTAATACAACAGTAAGAATAGTGGCTCTTAAAGGCTTTCTCAACCCTAACATTCTCTCTACTTGATTTGCTCAGCACCCGGCCTCTGCAAGACTTATCTCCATCCAGCTCTGCCCAAGCTCTGGAGGAATTATTTCCCCGCTATACCAGCCTTCAAACAGGGCCCCCACTTAACCCACCAGATTTTCAAGGGCTGAGAGAGGCACTGGACTCAGAGCACACCCGTCGCAAGGTGAGATGCAAAGGCTTTCTTCTGGAAGCAGCCAAGATTAGAAATAGGGAACAGAGCGCTGGAAAGGGATAAGGGATAAGAACCTGAAAGCTCGGGAGGACTTGTGGCCATCCTGAAGTCATTTTCAATCCCTATATAATGTATCATGCTGATACATCTGGTTGATTCTCTCTTTAAAAAACAATTTAAACTCCCCTCCCCAAGGATCACTACTTTTACCCTAAGGTCTAGAATGTACATATAAGCATCCCATAAGTGTTTGTTGAATGAAACTTTCTGGCTTGTGCACCTTTACAGCTACTAGTGGTAAAATAATCCTTATCTCATGAGCATCAGCCTTTATATTTAAAGGGTAGACAAATGGACAAGGTCAAAGAAAAGTTGGAACTAGTGTTTGTCATTTTTGGCACCCTCTCTTCTCATATTTAAAACCGTTTGGACACGAAGACTTGTCTCTCTTATCTTTGCTGTGTTTAATCATTGTATCCAATGAGCTCCTTCAGGTAAGAGTAACAGTGTGAGCTACTGCCCTTATTGCAAAGGTTTATGGGAAGTTTTCTCAGGAGATTGACTTAAGGGAAGAACCCAGAAGCTAAGCATCTATTTCCTGAGATGGAAGAAGAATTTGTGTTTCTTGGGCCTCAAGGTTTCTGCCCCAGAATATGCTGATTGTCTTAACTCTCTAAACTGATTCTGTTCTTGGGACCCAGGCTCCCTTTCTGCAGCCTATTTCCCTCTAGAGGAGTTAGAAGGCTAGACACTGTGGTTGGATTATGGATGGGTAGCATCCATACTCTCTCTCTCTCTTTTTTTTTTTTTTGTTGATTGTGGGGCTTGAAC